AGCCTCTCGCTCATCCTCCCATGGTATCTGTGCGATCCTTCCTCTTCCAGGGGGCCAGCGCCGGCTGGGGAGGGCTGGCAGCGGGGCGGTGGCTGCGGTGGCACGGGCAGAGGGCAGAGCAGTGCCCTGTGCCCGTGCGGTTTCTCTCTATGGTGGAGCTGATAAACAGCCCCAGGAAAGCTCAGCCGTGCCTGGGCGGTGAATTCGTGTCTAAACACGGGCTGCAGGAGGCGTGGGGAGGTGGCTTTGGGGCCGATAAGTGTAACTGGAGAGAGCGAGGGGATGTGCTCGCTCTGTGGCTCCGCTGTCCTTGGGCAGACGGGGAGCGGGGACAGCGACATCCTCCAGGCTGGCTGTGGCCAGCCCTGCTCCAGGCGCTGGTGTTTGGGGTCCAGGCATGGTGTGCCGGGAGCAGATCCTGGACATGCTGGAGCTTCCCAGGGGAGCCTCGTTTGCTGCCAGCCCAGCTCCCACCGAAAGGTTTGGGGTTAGGTTTTCTTTCGCGGCTTCAGCTATTTCTGCCTCGCTTCAGCTATTTCTGTGCCTCTCATGTTTCACCTGGTCGGGGGTTTGGGGTTTAGTGACTTCTGCCAGTGTTGATGGCCTGTGAGACAGAGCAGGAAGTCTTTGGGGAGCCTGTGCAGCCCCACATTTCCCGGGGACAGCCCGAGTCACCATGGTGGGGCTGAAGTGATCCACCTGTATGGACACGTCCCTGTCCCTCTGAATGGGATCTTCAGTCTCACCCCATTCCCCTCACAGAGGGCTGAGCTTCAGCCCCTGCCACGGGGCTAAGAGGGAAATACCCTTTGTGGGGATGGGGCTGTGCTTTCCTGTTCATCCTGGCATGAACTGTTCCTTCAGCAGTTCCTTACAGGGGCTGAAAGAACGTGGATCCTCCTTTGTGGAGGATGAGGAGCAGCGCAGCCTGGGCTCTGTGTGGGGCCCGATGGCTTTATGGGGACAGTGACCTGCTGGCTGTACCTGCTGCTGCCCAGGACCCTCCAGACATGCCCAAAAGCCTGCAGAGTGATGTTTGATCTGCTGGAACCCACCAGGTGACAATGTCTTGGTGATCAGCCCTCAGAGAAGGGCAAGGGCACTTGGAGTGGCGTCCCCAGCACATGGGGTTGTGTCCCCAGCGCTTGGGGTTCTGTCCCCAGTATTCAGGGTGGTGTCCCCAGCACTTGGAGTGCTGTCCCCAGTGTTCCTCTCTGCCTGAAAGGATTAGGGAAGGGACAACCCTGGAGGGAGGTGACAATTTCCTTGTGCACACCTGGGCCTGAGCAAACAGGGATCCCTGCTTAGGAGGAAGGAGCTTCAGTGGGATGAGCAGTGGGAGGATGGAGAGGTGAGAGTGAGGCAGAGGCCGGAGGATCCCCAAATGGGACAGAACTTCACCTTGGATTAGCGGGGCTGAGATGGAGCAGTGGTACAAGCCTCTCCCCAGCCTGGGCCCCCACGGCCACTGCCTGGCAGAGAAGGGGCTCAGGGGGGGTTTGTGGGGTGCTCAGCCAGGTCCTGCTCTCGCTGTCTCCTGCACCTGCAGTTTGGAACAGGAGGATTTCCCTTAACCCTGTAATTCCCTTAACCTGTGAGTTTGTCTGCCAGTGTCCAGGGTGAGCTGCACTTTCACTGCTGAGTCCTTCATTTTTAAGAATAGAGCCAGGTGTTCCCAAAACTGCCCCAAACTCTTGGGGAAGGTGGCTTCGGGGTCATTTGGGGTTTTTTGCACTATGAATCTCAGAATTATCGAAACCTGGAGGAAGAATTGCAACTTCTCTTCTTGCCCTTCCTTTTTCATTTTTTTCTCTGCAAAAGGAATAAAATCCAGCTGATGCCATGGGTATTTTAAGAATTGCAGAGAGGAAGTGAAGATTTGCAGCTCTGCAAAGAAGTGGGATGAATGCAGAGAAGGCTCTGGTCTTGCTGATCTGGCAGACAATAAAATACCTGGGTTTGGGATGAGCTGTGCCTCGTGTCTGCTGCAGGGAGATCCAGGGAGAGGAGGGGGACAGAGAGCAGAGAACCCTCCTGGTGTGGATCAGGGAACCTTCCCAGCCTTCTGGGAGCAGGGAGGGGTCCCCAGGGAAAGGGGCTGAGTCCAGCAGGTGCTGGGACCAGTTCAGGGTCCATCCCCAGAAATGGGGACAATTCCTGTTCCTCGTGCCAGGGATCCTTTCAGGAGAGCTGTGGCAGACAGAGAGGCTGGCACTGGTGCCCAGAGTTCCCCTTCCTCTGGGCTGGCAGCATCCCTGCCTGCCCCGCTGGGATCTGGGACCGGGCACAGCCAGGGCTGAGGGGCTGGACCCTCACCTCGGGGAGCAACGCAGGCACAAAACATCCCAGGGAAACCTGGGGAATTTCTGCTCGTTTGGGTTCCTGTGCTGGCCCTGGCCAAGGGAGAAGCAATGGCTGGAGCCTGACAGGACCCTGGCTGACGCCACTCTTCCTGTTCCCGTGCGTGTCCTTTCATCCTCTTCACCCATGACACCTGCCTGTCCTCCCCTGGGCAGCGTGGCTGGGTTCTGAACGTGCTGGGGACCAGTTCTTGTCACTTCATGTTGAATTCTCCGGGGAGACCCAAGCCCTGGAAGCAAGCACGTGCACTGTGGGCTCAGCCTCAGCCGCCCTTTGCTGCCAGGGAAGGGAAGGAGCCCTTTTGGAGCAGACAGGTGAACCGAGAGCCGAAGTTTCTCACGTTGGTCTTTGCTAAACGTGGAAGCTCCGGCGGGCCAGCAGCCCCCGCTCTGTCAGGAGGATGCGGATGTGGGAAGCCACCGGCACCTTCAGCCGCATTTAGCGCCGCTTCCTCCGGCAGCGCAGCCGGGAGGAGCCCGAGGGCAGCGCCGGGGGTCCCCCGTGGCTCCAGGGAACGCCGTGCTTGGCCAGCAGCTTGAGCTCCGGGGCTGGCAGCTCCTCCCCTGGCACGCTGCTCGGTGTCCTGGGCGCGGCAGGGACCGGGAGCACCAGCCCCTTCCTTCTGCAGCCGGGGCTTCAGGGCCGGTCTGTGAGCTGGGACAGCAGCAGGGTGGCTCGGTGCTCTGCGGTGGCTCAGGCTGCCATTCCAGCGGGCACATCCCGCTCCTGTCTCACAGCCAGGCACGCCTGGAGCCGCCTGGAGCCCGGCTGGGCAGCGCCGGTGCCAGGGGAGGGCAGGGCACTGGCACAGCGCCCTCCCCGCTAGCGGGAGATGGAAATCCCTGGGAGTACCTCAGCCCGGAGCCTTTCTCCAGCCCCAGGGCAAGAGCAGGACCCACGCGGGGCTGGGGAGGGGTCTGGAGGCTCCGGGTGCTGCAGGAAACCTTTAACGAGTGTCTGGGAACTGCTGTGAGCAGGGTGCCCGAGTGGTGCCTGGCAGGAACTCTCCCACACGTGTCCCTTCTCCTCCTCCTGCTGCTGCAGTTTGTTGGATTTGGTGATGGAGATTTACAGATTTAGGAACTACCTGGGTGGGTGGACTTTGGCCCTAAATCTTCAAATTAAACAAAAAAAAATTTAATCGTGGAAATTCAGGCTCTCTCCCCTCCTTTTTGTTCCAAGATGAACTTTGTATTTCAGACTCATTTTGACTTAAATTGGACATTTTTTAAATCCTGGGAGGATGAGGATCCCAATCCTGTCCTTCTCAGGGAGGCTGCTGTTGTTCATCCCTGGGGAACTCCTTGTTGCAGGAGGATTTGGGGGCCAAATATCCCAATGGGATCAGCTTTGAGCTGCTTTCTGCCCCAAACACAGTCTGGGTTCACCTTTAGGCTCTGCCCCATGGGGGTCCCACATGACTTTGTGCTCCCCCAAGGTTCTGACCTTGATCTCGGCCCCCACCTGAGCCAAGGGTGTCCTCATTTTCTGCAGGTAAACCCCCGGATCCAAGGCCATGCCGGAGTGCAGTGAGGAGTTCTGTGCACTTCCCCCACGAGCTGCAACCTCAGTGTGGCCATGGAGAGCTCAGGTGGGTGATCCTGAGACCCCCGGGGGGGAGAGACAAGAATTAACCCTCAGCCACCTCTTACCCCTCGATGTTCCTCTGTTTGAACACCTGGATGATTTCCAAGGTGTTGGCAGGTGCTGCTGGAAGATGGGATAAGAGGCACAAAGCACTTCAGGGGCAGCCAAAAGCTTTGCTGAGTGTGGGGCACTCAGATACAACAAAACATTTGAGTTTTAAAGTAGTTTTATATTTATTATTATTATTGTATTTCAGTCCATTTCTCCACCATGTTTTATTTTCATGCTGTTTCAGAGGTGCTGTTAATCTCCCAGGGTCAGGATGTCAATGATGAAAGGTTTTATTCCATTTCTAAGCCACTGCTGTTTGTTGCTGGGATTTTCATATTTTTATGGGGGTTTTTTTTCTGTATTTAGATCAAAGTGCCTCTTGTTTGTGCTGGGTCAATCTCTTTGCTCTGCTCCCTGTGAGGGACCCTCAGTACTGGGGTTGCTTTGATCCAGGAGGAGAGGACAGGACTGATATCAGTGCTCAGGAAAAGCCCCCCCAGGTGATCACAAACACACAGAAAGGAAAAGAGCAGGAAATTTCAAATAGTCCTCGATAGCATAATTCCTGTGTGCCAAACCAGTAAACAGGAGAGTGAAATCGAGCAGCACCCCAAACTCGAGCTTCCACCCCAAACTCGAGCTCCCACCCAGTCTGAGCTGTGCCCCAGCCAGGGGCTGAGGCTGTCAGAGTTCTTTTTGGGGCTGCCCGAGTTATTTTTGGTGAGAGCAGGAAGCAGCTGGGGTTTGGCAGACATAAGGGGCTGCCAGGCAGGAGCTTTGCCTGGGGAGCAGGGGGTGCTCGGGGCAAGGCTGTGGAGGTCCTGTGGGGGCACGAGGGGATGCTGCAGCCTGAGCCCTGCCTGGGCTCCCCACGGGGGTGATGTGTTGGGGTGGGCAGCAGCCCTGGCTGCACTGGCTGTGAGGCTGGGGCTCAGTCTGGGCAGTGCCCAGTGCTGAAGGGCTTTGGCTCCTTTCCCGTGCCAGCTTCCAGGTCCTTCATTTCATTCCAGTTTTGTTCATTTCTGTGTTTAATGTGAGATTTTTTCACTGAGCAAGGGGAGAAGAAGGTTCTGCACGGCTCAGGCCTGGGCTCTGCAGAGCTGCTCTGCCATGTCCCTGCAGGGGCCCTTGGCTCTCCAGTGGCGTTCCTGACCCGCTGCAGTGGCCTTGGGCACAGCTCTGTGCTCTGGCCTCCGAGGGCCATGGGGAGCATCTGTCCCTGGCCCAGCTCACGGCCCCGTGTCCCTGCAGAGCTGGAGTCGGACATCCTGCGGCGAGTGCGGGCGCTGCTGCGGGAGCTGGACGGGCACCACCCCTCCTGCCAGAGCGACCGAGGTGAGGGGCTGGCACTGCCCTGCTGGGCACTGCCTCCCACAGCGCCCAACTCCCCTCCACAGCCATGTGGGGATATGGTGGCTTCACTCACTTGCCCTTCCTAACCCTGTTCTGGAGGTGCCAAATCCTGCATCAGCTGCATCCATGCCCCAGCAGCCTCTGCCACCCTTCTGTCACCCTTCTGTCACCCCTGCACACCCTATCTTACCCTGGGTCCTGCACTGGGCTGGGACATCAACACAGAGCCCCCAAGGTGACACAAACACCGAGCCCCGAGCTGGATTCTCCTGGTGGCTCTCCGTGGGAAAGTTCCTCTGCCCTGCCCAGCTCGTCCCTGCCTGAGGCACCAGCTGATTCCTCCATGTTGTGGGTTTGGAGGATAAAACTCTTACAGCCTGGAGAAACCAAATGAATTCTGAAAAAATTCTTTTCCTCGGAACACACAGGATATTTTACAGTTAATTAAATTGGATTTTGCCTGGAATGAGCCATGGCATCCTCAGGGCTGAGAGGTTTTGTGGTCCCTGCTCTGAGGGTCCAGTGCTGGGAGCAGCCAGATCCCAAATTCCTTGGGGCAGGTGGGGAAAGCAGCTGGGCATAAAGAGGAGTGGGGAAACAAATCCTTGCTTTTCTCCAGCCCTCGGAGGTCTTGGAGCCATTCCCAAGGGTTTCCCAGAATTAGATCCAACACACGGATGCTGTACCCAGGGAGGGGCTGGCCTGGCCCTTGCAGAGGGTCAGAGGAGAGAGCAGAAGGCAGAGGAGGCTGGTTTAGCTCTCAGAGATGGCAGAGCAGCGTCCCAGGGGGGATTTTTGCACTCCAGTGCTCAGGTCCCTTAGTCCCCTGTGAAACCTCACCCAGATCCCTCCTTCAGTGAGCTGCCCTGCCCTGGCTCTCCCTTCTCAGGAATGCTGCGATGGACCCTGCACAAGAAAATCGAACAGAACCCCAGCACCAGCTGTGTCCTGGTCAGGATCCTGGTGAAGGAGTTGGAAAGGGTGAGTGCCACCTCAGACAGGGGACAGCACTTTGGAGAGGGGACAGCCACCTCAGGGACGTGCCCTGAGTGCAGGGCTGGCCCCTCTGTGCTGGGTGCTGGGGGAGGCAGAGGGATGGGCTCAGTTCCACCCCAAGCAGGGGTTTTGGGGCTCAGCTGGGCACTGGGGCTCAGCACAGAGTGAGAAACCCCGAGGGACATCAGGCACCCATGGCTCAGGGGCCAGGCTTTGTTCTTAGAGAAGCTGAGCCGAGCCAGGATCTCCCAGGCTGGTCCCTGCACAGCAGCCCAAGGCAGGCAGCCCTCACCCTACAAACCCTCCCAAACAGCCCAGACTTCCCCCACCCCACCCTCTGTGGGCTCAGATAGAGCGGAAATTCCTCCCCCGCTTCTCTCATTTCCACCCCACCCAACCTGCCCTGGAGCCATCAATGGAAATCTGTGATGGGTTTTGGTTTCACTGATTTCCCACATCACCTTCTGGTCTGGTACAAACCTCCAGCAGCCTCTGCATCCTGGTGGGACCCAGTTGGTGGGTTGGGGATGTGTCTTGTGGAGAAGCAATACCTCTGCATTCTTCTGAGCCTGCCTCAGTTTACCCAGAGCCATCATTCCCCTCCTACTTCTCCTCACCCCACAGCTGAGCCCCCACTCCTTGTCCCCTGTCCAGAAACCCCCCTGGACCATTTTCTCTGCATCTTTGCTATTTCTTCTTTGACCTGGGAGGCTGGAGCAGCCCTGCTGAGCCTGTCACCTCCCCCAGGACTCCTGTGTCTCCCCTGTGATCCAGCAGTTATCCCACTCCCACTCCCACTCCAAATCCCAATTCCAGTCTCTGAAGCAGCTCTGGGGTTATTTGCAGGATCTCTCTCGTGTTATGGCAGTTCAGCTTCCATCAGTGCCTTGGGAAGGGATTTCATTTAGTGGCTTTCACAAATCCAGACAGGAAGCCCCATGCCACCCTTGGTTGTGGATTCAGGGATTCTCCCTGAGGGTTTCAGGGCTGCTTTTCTCTGCAGCAGCCAGGCCAGTCCTCCCCTCTAGCTGTTATCACTCTGTCACTCTTCTCTTCCCCTGCTCAGGAGGGGTGTCAGTCCTCCTGCTCCATAATTCCCTGAAGCTCTTCCAGGAAATTCCTCTCACTTGGGGCTCTTGTGTTTTTTTTCACTCTCAGCAGCTCTGAGCCATCAGCATCAAGCAGGGATGATAATTTAGCAATTTCATGCCCGAGTTCCTCCAGGGCCGGTATCAACTCAGCAGTTCCCTGAGTTCCTTTGATCGATGTTTTCTCAGGCTTTGCTGCCATCAGCTCCGTTTAACTCAGACCCATCAGAGCTCAGCAGCCCTGAGGAGAGGGGCCAGAATTATCTCTGGGCTGGGAATCTCTTTCCCAAGTTTATCCAGGGGGAATCCCTATGCTGAAGCTGTTGCTAGAGCCAGTCAGGGCTGCAGGAGGGGCTGGAGCATCCCCTGGGTTCCCATGGGCAGGGATGGGGACAAGGGATGGGAACACCTCCCTGTTCCCTCTGCTCCCACCCCTACCAAACCCAAGCCAGGCTTTTTCCAGAGGTTTTGTGTTCCTACGGGAGTGGAAAGGAGCTCCTTAATGCTCACCCTCTCCCACTATCCTCTGTGCCCCTCCCCAGGGACATCCTGCCCACCCTAAAAGCCTGAGGAGGGATCCCAAACCCCACCCTGACTCAGGGGTCACCCTTGAGCCAGGATGAATTCCCGTGCTCAGAGACAAAACCTGGCACACCTTGGGGACTCTGGGGCTGCTCCTGCCCAGCCCAGCATCCTGCCAGGACCTGACTGTGCCTTCCCTGCCCCCTGTCCACAGGCAGAGCGAGGGGACCTGCGGCACTACATCATCCCCCTGCTGCACACGCTGATGTACACCTTGATCCAGGTGAGCTGTGCCTCCATGCAGGTGAGCTGTGCTTCCATACACTGGCCTGGGGCAGCATCCAGGCACATCACAGGCCACAGGAGAGGTCACCTGGAGCCACTCACAACCTGGAACAGCCACTCAGAACCAGCAGAGCCCTGGTTCAGTCCCAGGTGGGCTCAGCTGTGCATTCCCTGTGTCCCTGTGGCACACACTGTGCCAGGTCCTTCCACCTGACCCCTTCTCTGGAGGTGGTGCAGGAAACCACAACCTGGCAAAAACAATGTGTCCCCAGCCTTCAGTGGGTATTGCTGGAGGTTCCCAAACCACTGCAGGGTCCAATTCTGCTCTGTTTTTTGCATTTAAAACTGTAGGGAATTTGGTGCTGGGAATTTGGTGCCCTCCCAGCCCTAGGGAGGAGTACTGTTGGAGGGGATTTAGGGATCACTGCCTGTCACCTCCCTGTCCCCCTGCAGGCTCCCTGCATCCCTGATGAGCTCTGTGCCAGGGTTTATGACTTCTGCAAGAGGTTGCTGACCCTGCCCAAGCCCTTCTGCACCATCGGGCTGGACTATGCCAGCAGGCTGCAGGTGGAGAGGACAGCCCCAGGTAAGGGGGTGCCCCTGCCCCAGCCTGGCACTGGGGGTCCTTGAGGGCTGGCCTGCAGAAAATCAGCTCTAAACCAGCCCTGTGGACATTGAGATGTCAGTGCTGGCTGCAGGGAAGAACCCACCTTGGGTTTGCAGGGAAGCAAACCCAAGGACATCTGCTTTCTTTTCCCCCTGTGTTCTTTTTGTCCATTCTCATTCAAGTTCTTCTAGTTAGAGTTTTCTTTAATAGGAGCCTTTCAAAGCAGTCCTTTAGAGCAGAGTAAGGTGCAGACACCCTGTGAGGGGGAGGTGAAACAGGAGAAACCTGGTGGGGAATTTTGGTGCTGTTCTGGGGAGTCTCAGCCCACCCCAACCACTCCGCCCTGGCACTGCTTTGGCTGCAGCTCGAAGGGGTACCTCTATCTCCCCTGATTCTTGGTACAGGAGTGCTTCAGGGTGGAGAGAAGGGATCTCCAGCAGGGCTCCTCTCTGAGCAGCACAGGATGCACAGGATTGTCCCTGAGCCAGGGCAGGTGGATGGATCCTCACCCCTGGGCAGGGGGAGGGGGAAGTGCCTCTCTCCTGATCCAGAGATACCTGATGCTTCTCAGATGCCCCAAATATAGTCCCCATGTGGCCCTGGGGACAGAGCTCTTCCTCCTGCCTCCAACTCCACTCTCAAGCTCATAATGCCCTAAACAAAGGAAGGGAAACACAGGAAATCATCCCAGAATAGAAGGAGGTTTCTTTTTCTGGAGCCTGGCCTTTGTCCTTGGCTGTTTTTAGCTCTGGCCCAATTCTTGGCTGTTTAACCTCATCTCAGTGGGTGTTCCCCAACATGGCAGAGTCACCTCAGCCTCTACACCTGCCCCAAGAGCTGTGTTATTCCTGCTGCTCTCACTCCATGTGTTTGTGCCCTTCCCAGGAACCTTGTATCAAAGAATGGTCATTTCCGAGCAGAGCCTGTGGAGCGCCCCATTCCCTTACCAGGAGAAGTGAGTGCTCCTCTCTGGAGGGGTTGGTGCTTTCATTTTGTGGTCTTTTAGGGAAACCTGTCCTTTTCCAACACTTGGAATTAGTCTTGGTTGGAACAGACAACCTGGGCCTAAACCATGTGGTCTTGGGGGACACAAGTGGGTGACATCCACATCCTTTACATTTCAGTGACACTTTGTGTCGGGAGGGCACATTCCTCCTGTGTCCCAATTTATTTTGGGAGGCAGGGAGTTGCCCCTGTGGGGGGAAACAGGGTAGAGAATGGGCATATCAACAGCAGCAATGGCAAAAGTGAGACATGAGCTGCTCTGCCAGCCCTGGTGTGGGTGATGTGAGTCTGCATCTCCCTCTTTCTGCACCCTGCTGCCCCCCCAGGATTTTCATCTTTGCTGACCCAGAGCTGCTGCCTGAAGCCATCTGCAACGCGCTGGTCACCGACACTGAGGCAGCCCAAGTGTCCCAAAGCCCCCAGGGCTGCATGAGCTTCGTGGTCACCCACGCCCTGCAGGCGGCCCTGGGTGACACCTGCGACATCCACGGCCTCAGGGCCCGACTCCAGGTAATGCAGCAGCTCCTCTGGAGCCTTTCCAATGGTCCTGCTCTGGCTGGACATCTTGGAGAAACAACAGGTGTTTTGGCAAGTGGAGAAACCCCCCAGCTCCTCAATGCTGGTCTACAGAGCTGGGCTGGGGTTGAACTCAAATGGAAATGAGTTTTCCTTTGAACGGAAAGCAGTGGCTACAGCAGAGCCAGAGTTTGGAACCTTTAGTCTGAGTGTTGGTTTTGCCCAGAAGAGCTGAAACAGAGCCTCTGTTATCTCCTCTGAGGGCTCCTGGGCACTGCAGGAACCTCTCAGAGGAAAGGTTCCAATCAGTTTTTTCCAGAACCTTCTGGGAGGAGCTGTGGGGCCACAGGAACACAAATGGCTGGCTCAGAAACTTTGCAGGGGCTCTTGGCAATTTCCACCCCAAGGACAGTTCATGTGCCTGGTGTCCCCATCTCCCAAGAGTCACCCCAAGTGCCAGCACTGCTGAGGGTGCCCACACGGTGCCCATCAGCTGCAAAGCTGCCAGAAAAGGAGTTTTAAGCAGCCGGCACAGACAGCATCTCTCCTGGGCACAACAGGACCTTTGTGTGTGCCTAAGAAACAATTTTTGTAGGACTCATTTGCTCTTTCTGCCCCTGTCGTGACCCTACGTGATTCCAGGTGCTCACAGCCCCTCTCCCACCAGGCCTTGGCCCCAGGGGACGTGGAGCACTGGTTCCAGCAGGTGGTGGCGGCTGTGGAGGGCGCAGCCAGTGAGGGGGGCTCCGACCGGGGCCAGCACATGGCGCAGCTGGAGAGGATCTACCATGGCCTCCTGGGCTCCTTGCCTGCAGGTGAGCCCCAGCCAGACATTGCACTGGGACAGGGAACCCTTGTGTCCCCACTGTGTCCTTGCCATCCCCTGTAGCAGCTGGAGCAGGCTCTCTGTGTGACCCCATGGCTAGCACGGAGGACCAGCCCTGGAAGGCAGATTTGTGACTGAGGAGAGGGACAGTGGAAATTCCTGCTGCTGATTCAGGGCTTTAAGGTCCCTTCCTGCCCAAACCCTTCTCTGATGTGCTGGATGATGGCACTGCCACCTCCTGCCATCCCTACCATGCTCTGTTCCAGCCTGGTGCCACTGGGGCTACACAAACTACAACAAAATCTCAACCCTTCTCATCTCCTCACAGAGATCTGGGGGAACCAGAGGCAAATGGTCAGGGTCATGGTTCCTCTCCTGGCTACTCCCTGTGTCCCAACCTCCTCCAGAAGGCAGGACAGTGTCCCAGTGCAGGATTTTGGGAAGAGCAGGCGGTGGTGCCGGGAGGGGTGTGGGACCATCACCTTTTGTGGGTGGTGAGGGGGTAGAGGACCATCACTTTTTAGGGGATGGTGAGTGTTAAATTGTCCCACTATTGCCACAGAGCTCTCACGAGTTAAAAGAGCCAGTGCTGGTGGGGTCAGAGGGTTCAGATCACCACGTGCATTGGAAGAATGTTTATTCTGCAATCCCTCTGCTGGCTGCCAAGCGAGGTCCTTCACTTTTGCCCGTGCCCCTGTTTCCCCCTTTTCATTTCTCCCTCCCACCAATGGGGTAGACACTTTGTGATGACTCAATTTATGAGAGCAGAGGCCTCACAGGCTCACATCTGGCCAGGAGCACTGGGGTGGGAGAGCCCCAGGGCTGCCTCAGCTGGCGTCAGCCCCGGGGGTTCGTGGTCCTGTGTGGGGAAATGCTCCCATGTGCTCCAAGCATCCTTGTTTTCCCAGGGAATGCTCCCCAGGAAGGGCTGCAGGGGACTCCTCTGCCCAACCCCAATATCAGCTTCCACCTGTGGACAGAAGATGAGCAGCTCTGTGAGTGGCCTGGGCCTGGGGGGAGCTGGGGAATGGTCTGAGCCCGAGGGTCAGTGTCCCAGAGGGGTCACTTAGCCCTGACCTTCGGTAGGGAGTTTTAGAACCATTGTCCCAAGGCCAAACTCATGGAGATTTGTGCTAACTGCTCTAGCCCTGAGGGCTGCTGGGGCTAGGCCAGGGGCTTTGGGGTGTCAAGGGGTGAAGGAGCTGGGGCTGCAGCAGGATATGCCCAGAGTATCTGACTTTGTTGTGGCTGCCCCTGGATCCCTGGCAGTGCCCAAGGCCAGGCTGGATGGAGCTCTGAGCAGACTGGTCTGGTGGAAGGCATCCCTGCCCACGGCAGAGAAGGGAACGAGATGATCTTCCCTTCCAACCCAAACCAGTCCGGGATTCTGGGATTCTGGTATTGGAGCGGTACTGAACTCTCTGCATGGGAAATGGGGCTGCCTGCTCTTGGAGCCGCTGGCAGAGATCTCAGCTCTGCGGTTTCGCTGGGAGGGGTGAAGCTGCAGCAGGACGGGGCTGAGCCTGGCGCTGCTGGCTCTCCCTGCTGCAGCCGCTCCGTGCCCGCAGGGAAGGAGCTGGTGCTGTTCCTCCGTCCGCTGTCGCAGAGCTGTGAGCCCGACTGCCTGGGCCAGGAGCTGGATCCCACGGACATGCAGGACATCCTTGCGGGCTGTGGCTGCTGCGAGCAGAGCCGCTTCTCGGTGCTGTCCACCGACAGCGGCATCGAGCGGGACCTGCCCGCGCAGGACGAGCCCAGCGCGGCGGACACGGAGCCCTCCCGGCTCCACAGGAAGGGCGGCATCAAGAAAAAGCTGTCCCCGCTGGACAGCGTGTCCTTGCTGCAGGCTGGCAGCGCTGTCCCTGCAGGGAAGCCCCCCGGGAAGCAGCCCAGGAGGTCAGGAACGGCCCCGCAGCCCTTGGCCCCGCTCCAGAGGCGGCACACCGCCCGTGTGATGCTGCTGGGAGACGATCGCATCCTGGGCCGCCTGGCACAGGCCTTCCACTCCCTCAGGTACCTGGGGCCACCTGTGCTCTGCGGGCAGCAGGACTGCGTGGCTGCTTTGCCCTGCAGGTTGTTGGAGTAGCCAGGGTGGCTGGGGACGGGGTTGGGCTCGGTGGTATCTGGGGCAGGCTGGGTCCTGGGGGTTTGGCTCCCAAATGCACTCAACTGCCACTGGCTGCTCTCCTGGCTCAAGTGATGCACACAGTGAGTCCTCCACTCTGTCCCTGGGCTCAGTTAAATGAGGCAAGGCGTTTTCCCATGCCAAAGGGAAACATTCTACAGAGAAGCTGTTCCCCAGGCTTGGGGGTGGGTGACAGTGTGGGCAGCCTGGGGAGCAGAGCTGGGTGCACAGGGACACCAGGCCTTGACAAAAACCTCTCTGAGGCTCCCCATCACCTCCCCCGGCTTGCCTGGGGAAGCCAGAGCATGTCCTGGGAAAGGAGGCAGTGAGGGGGGCACATGTCAGAGCAGCCACAGTGTCCTGGCACTGGCCAGCCTTGCCCAGGAGATGTGTTCTGCCCCTTTCCCTTTGGCACATCTCATTTTTCATTTCAGGAAACGGGAAGCCCGGCGAGTGTTCCTGACTCGCAGGCTGAACCTGCAGTTCTACCACATCCCTGTGCTGCCAGGACACTCCTCGGCTGCTGCGGTGAGGGCCGGGCAGGGGATGGTTTTTTTGGGGAGGAGCAGGGGGATCCAGGAATTCCTGCCCATTCCTGCCTGGTCCCAGCCAACATGGAGCTGCTGGGCTCATTTTGGGGTGTCAGCTCCTTCGGTCCTTCAGTCCTGCTTCCAGGCCTCAGCAGAGGATGATCCGTGAAGTTTAGCCAAGGACTGATGATTTTCCTACTTCCCAAATCTTGAGGGGAAGCAGTTGCTGCTCATTGAGGACTTTGCCCCCTTGGCCATGGCCCTGGTTTTAGGTCTGTGAGTCTCTACTCGTGGTTTATGTCAGTCACATCCCTTCCCCTCTGACAGCCTCGAGATGGAGGTAAATGAGCAATTGCATTTAGGATATTTTCAGCTGGCCCAGAGCTGGCTGTGACCCCTGACAAACAGGCTGTTAAAAGATCAGTATTCCTTTTTTTCATTCCTCACAGAAGTTTTGTGCTGGAGCTTCTGCTAAATGAGTTTGCCAGCTTCTCTGGAGGGAGCAGGGAAAGGACAGGGATGGGGGAATGTCACAGGTCTCTCTAGCTCCTTATGGCTCCTGATATGATGAACTCCGATTCCTCCTTGGCTGCAGGAAGCTTCCTAGAAGTGTGAACCAAGTCCCACAGGAGCTGGATTTAGGGCTGGAAGTGGCTGGGAGGGGTTCTCCAGGACCTTCTTTTCATGTTTTGCTCAATACAAGCCCAGGAAAAGCAAACAATCCTCAGGTTGGAGTGACTGTGAGCTGTGTTTCCCCTGCAGGATGCTGCTGGCCCTGAGGGGCTGTGTGAAGTGGCCGGGTACCTGGGCAGGGCTGACCCCTGGTACGAGAGCAACATCAACACTCTGTGCCACATGATCCCCAAGCTGGCCAGCATGGTATGAGGAAAGCCTTCCCCTTTCCCAAAAACACCTGCAGCACCTGAGGAGGGGGTCTGTGCCCTGCAGGGCTCTCCATCCCCAGACAGAGATTTTCCCCTGCAAACCTTCCCCAGGGCCCTGCAGGGCTCTCCATCCCCAGAGATTTCCCCCTGCAAACCCTCGCCAGGGCCCTGCCAGGAGGTGCTGGTATCTGACACTGTCCCAGCCCACAAGAGCCATTTGCTGTGATGGGTTTTCTGACCAGGGGACAGGAAATTGCAGATTTCAAGAAAGAAAACTTTTGCTGAAATCCCCCAGCTCTCATTTCCTGGCAGTTTGAGCCTCCACTGACAGCCTGCACAAAAAGGGCCGAGAGGGGGGCGCAGTTCCCACTCTGTGTGAGTGGCAAGGCCAGAGGACAGCTCATCCCTCACTCTGAGTCCAGGAAGGTTTGAGGCTTTATGGTGGGGTTTCTGAGAAGTGGCAGGGGCTGACCCAGCCTGCGATTTGCCCCCCAGCCATCATCGCCGAGCAGGGCCCTGGTGACCGACCTGTTCCTCACCGATGTCATCGCCTACTACGCACGCATGGGCACCCAGCCCGTCTGCTTCCAGGTTCACTCTGTCAAGGTGGGTGGCACAGCTGGAACAGTCCCCGGGCCTTCAGTGGCCCCACAAGTGCTGGCAGAGCTGTGCAGAGCCAGGGGGTTGGGGGACTTGTGGCAGAGATTCCCGTTCCCCCCAGCCCAGTCCTCCCTGCCCATTCCCACAGCCGCTGACCCTGGAGCTCAGCTCAGCTGGAGCCAATGATCCTGGTGAGGCCATTTCAGGATCTCAGCTCAGCAAGGGAGCTTTGAAATCCCCCACAGGGTCACAGACTTCTTGCTCTGCTGGGTTCAGGGTGCTCAGGAGCCCTGGTACCTCCTCCTGATTTAGTTGCTGGGAGCCAACAGGGCTTTGCTGAGCAGCTTTGCCCAAACCTCCCTTTACCTGCAGGGGCTTTGCAGGGTTTCCTGCAGCACCATTTGATTTATTTCCTGCCAGCTTTGCTCTGAAATGGTATCAGAGCAAGGCCTGGCACTTGATAGGAGAGCAAAGAACGGCGAAGTTCAGGCACACAATATTAACCCTCCCCTCCCTGCTCCTCTGGCAGCTCTGGCAGCCCTGGCACCCCCTCCAAAGCTCAGGCTGACGCACTGATGCACTTTTAATCTGCTCACAGCCACTGTGGCACCTATTCCAGCACCCAAGGAGCCCCAGCATGAGCAAACTGGCACGAGGCTTGCAAAGAGCTTTGTTAATTCCTGGTGGAGCATCCCCAGGACTTCACTCATAACCCATGGCCTGTCAGTTCTTGGAGCACCTGGGCCTTGGTTTGTGGCTGGGCATTTTGGTTTTCTGGTGAAATTGTCTTGCAGTCATATCTCCTCCAGGGTGAAACTGGGCAGTGAGAGCGTACGTGATTCAGGCAGGAGCTGGCTCCAGATGTCGTTTTCAGATAGAGGCCCCTGAGCTGCCCTCCTTCCAGCCAGGCCGAGGCTGCTGAGGCTGCCAACACTGCCCCAGTTTCACTCCTGTGCTGGAGCTCCCTGTTCCTCTCTGGCTGCAGGAAGCTGCCCACAGGAGTGAGCCGCGTCCCACAGGAGCTGGCCCTGGGGCCAGGAGTGCCTGGGACAGGTTCTCCAGCACCTGCTCTTCACCTCTTGCCCAACACAAGCCCATGAAAAGAAAATATTCCATAGGGCTGGAGTGACCTGGCGATTTAGGTTGAAGCAGAGAGAAACTGCGTCCCCTGGAGCTCAGCAGCAGCTCAGCTGGGCCTGGGGAAGTGCTCCCGGTGATGTGGGTGCGTGCCTGGGAGCTGACTCGTCTCTGAGGGCACAGTGACATCCAGTGGCAGGGGACACTGCCCGTGGCTCGTCTGGCCAGGTCCCCGTGGCTCCTGGCAGATCCTGCCATACTCCTGGAGCTCAGGAAGCAGAGCCAGGGCAGTTCCCCATCCCACAGGAGTCCTAAGTGCCATGAAAAAGGTCCCGGCTCCCCTTGGCTGCCCTGGAGAAGCTGTTCATGCTATGAGCCTCGTGTGACACCTCAGGGGGACAGAGGAGACATCCTCAGGGTTGTTCCTGTCAGGGAAGTTCCCCTCAGGAATGGGAATGTTCCCCTCAGGGATGTTCCTCTCAGGGACGTTCCCCTCAGGGACCAGTCTCTCAGGAATGTGTCTTCCAGGGATGTTCCTCTCAGGAATGTTTCTCCCAGGGTGTTCTTCTCTTCCAGGTGCTGTTCCGGGACCCAGCGCAGGACCCAGCTGAGGACGTGTTCCTCACAGAGCTGCTGACCCAGGTGCAGGACAGCCCCTCACACAGAGGTGTGTGTGTCCCCCCCAGCCCCAGCCTGGACAGGGCTGCTGCACCCCCCGATCCCACCCACCCCATCCCTCAGCCTGCAGAGCTCCAGGCCTTGGGCAGTACTTCTTGTTCCTCACAAGACTTCCCCAAATGCCTCCATCTCCTTCCTGGGGCCAGGAAATCAGGCTAAATGGAGACCTGGTGGCTGCTGGCTCCTAGGCTCAGCCAGTGTTTTTAGTCTGTGCCTTTGGTCAGCTCCAGGACACTCAGTTGGACCAGAGCTCTGATTTAGTTGAGGAGACAAGCTGGGCCTCACAGGCAGATATTTTTCCTGTTAGAAATCCAGTTCCTCGAGTTGCCAGGGATGGAACAACAGTGCTTGAAGGCTGGACTGTTCCAGAAGTCCCATCAGCACCTCCATCAGTGCACTCTAGTGTCCAATCCAGCGGATATTTGTCACTGAGGTTGGGCACAGAGCCTGCAGTGAGCCCGTCCTGCTGGCACAGAGCCTCAGCTCCCAGGGCAGGGACAGAAGGGACAAAGTGTGACAGAAGGCCACTGTGTGACACGAGGGCAGCTCAGCCCATGGGAGGATCCCTCTCTGCTGAGCACAGACAGGTGGGATGAGGGACATTCAATCCCACCCAGTTCCCTCCTCACAGACCTGAACACAACCAAGAGGAAAAGCAGCCTGGACGGCCCTGGAATCGATCTCACCGTGACCTACAGGAAGGTGCGTGGGGCTCCCTGCACCCCAAGTGTCTCTGCTCCCAGGGATGCCCAGCAGGGCACACACCTCCTGAAGGGAGTCTGACCCTCCCTCTTTCCTCTGGAACTGCTCTCCAGGCAAGGACAGAGAGGCTGTGGTAACCTGTTAGCTCACCTCATGTCTGTGATGGGCTGTCCCACGGCCAGCCCCTGCCAGGGGCACTGACAGGACACTGGCCTTGCCCGCAGGTTGTGCTGAGTGACCGGCACAAGGAGCTGGCCCTGGCCCTGCGCTCCACGGGCCTGCTGATGAAAGCCATCCCTGCTGAGGAGGCTGAAGGTGGGTTCTTCCTGCTTTGCTGAGGTTTCTGGTGCATAATGGAGCAAATCTGGCCAGGTCCTTGGTGCCAGCTGTGTCTGGGCTGCGGGGTGGGGGGGAATCAGTGACAGGAATATTGGTGTTCTCATGGTCTGGTTGGGGTTTTCTCAGGAATGACATGCCTGAGGCTCAGACAGGATTTAAGCACCTTCCCTCTGCTCCAGCCTTCCTCTTTCACCTGGCCCTTAGCACAGCTTTCCACCCTGACATGATCCCACACAGTTCCTTTGCCCATGGAGCTTGCTGGAGCCCTGTGTGTCCACAGGCACTGCACCCAAATGTGGGGCAGGGCCCCGGAAAGCTGAGCTGAGGCTGTGCTGTGGCCCCAGACCAGCCCTCTGCTTCTGTCACAGGCCTGGGCTGTTTGAGTGTGACCATCACTGAAATCATCAGGATCAACAACCTGGCAGGACGGTCCTTCTCAGTGAGTACTCATGGCTCAGGCCCTCAGGGGCCACAATCCCTTACAGCAGCAGGGAAAAGGGCAGCCCTGTGGGGAGGAGAGGGCTTTGGGGCCACCCTGCTCAGACAGCGTTTGGTAGTTGCTTTCCATGGAAAAGTCTGAATGTTTGAGCCAAAGCCCCAATGGGCTTCCTGCTGGTCAGTGCCTTCCCTGCTGTTCAGTGCCATCCCTGCTGGTCAGTGTCACCTCTGCTGGTCAGTGTCACCTCTGCTGGTCAGTGCCATCCCTGCTGGTCAGTGTCACCTCTGCTGGTCAGTGCCCTCCCTGCTGGTCAGTGTCACCTTTGCTGGTCAGTGCCCTCCCTGCTGGTCAGTGCCAAGAAACAGGAACTTCACTGAATCTATTTATCAGCTCACAAAGATGCATTTGTAAGAGTGAGGATTGAAATTTTGACTTGTGTCCTTTTTGTTTTACTTGAGTTTCAGCAGACCCCAGAGGAGACACTGCCCGTGGTAATGTGCCACTGCAGTTTCAGTGGCATTAAATATTAGTGTGCCTTGGTCACTTGGGCCCCTGGCTCCCAGCTGGTGTTTTTAGCCAGCACATTTTGCTCATTCTAACCTGGCTTTTGGGAATACCGAGGTGCTGCAGCCCCACTGTCCACAGAGATACTCCATGGCCATGGAGAACAGACCACACCCCACAGCAGCCATCCCAAACTCAGCCAACACTGCCACTTTGGAAAGTCTGTTCTTTCAGAACATGGCCAGCTTCTGAGTGCAGAGGAAGGATTCGCTTTTTGTCACATCTGAGGCTGAAAAAGAAAACCAGAGAAATGTCATTTTCTTTTCCTGTCACACCCAGCATGCAGTCTGGGGAGGGGAGGGACACCTCAGCAGGCTCTCTCTCCTCTCCCCATCCAGGCTGTGGCAAATAGGTTCAAAGCACAGACTATCAAGATCGGGAGTCCAGAGCAGAGACCCTTCACGGTGCGGCTGGACAAGGACAGCAGGAGAACCTACAGGGACGTGATCGGGTGAGAACCGGCATGCCAGGCTCTGCACATCTGCCCTGCACCCCCACTGTCTGCCAGGGAGCCCTGATCCAAATACATGACAAAAACCTCATGTTCCTTCTCCAGGGAAAGCAGGGCACACTGGGGCTCTCCTGCATTTGTGTTTTCAGGTGATGGTGTGAGGAACAAAACAGTTCTTTACAGAAAAGGTGCTGTCATTGAGAAAGTAGAAAAGCAGGCACCTACAGGGACAAACAGAGCTTAGACCTCCTGAATTATGAATTATATCATGATGCTGATGCTCTCTGCACTGCCTGCATTCCTCACTGGGGGTCTCCAGCAGGTGCAGGTGGGGGACAGGACCCAGCCTTGTGGAAATGACCAGGATTAATGTGCCTGGAGCAGCTGCAGTGACATGGGATGTGCTGATGCATCAAGGTTCAGCCAACAAACTGAATTCCTGAGTCACACTGAGCCAGTCTCAGGACCTTGGGTTTGTGTCAAACACTGACATGCAGCAGCTCATCTCTGCAATCAAACCCAGCTGGAAAAAGCATAAAATTAGCAGTGGGAGAGCTCTCCTGCATCAGACAGTGCAGAGAGTTGGGGTTCACTCAGAGATCAGACCTGAATATGCACTGAGTGTGTTCTGTGCTCTTCCAGCCTGGAGGTGTCTCCCTGCCTCGAGCCCAGCTACTGCCTGCAGAAGACAAAGACCACGAAATTCAACCTTCACAAAACAGAAGACATGGGACTTGTGAAATACCTGCCCAAGTCTCTGCTGCTGCCCATCAACACTTTTGCAGGAGTCATCCAGTGAAGGAAACAAAAAGGTGGGGTCAGCACAGGGGACATGGAAAGAGAACACACACTAGAAGCTACCAGTGGTGACTTTAAACAGCAATGGTGTAAAGAGCTGCTCCAGCAGAGGTGGACAGGCTCAGAGGGCAAAGCCATGCCCTGCTGGAAACAGTGTGACCATGCCCTGCCAAGGGCACAGCCAAGCTGCAGGACTGAGCTTTCACCTTTTGCACAAGTCAAGCAAAAGCTTTGAGCTCCTCCATTCAGGAAGAGTGAGGAAGACCCATGGGAGGTGGTGCTGGCTGTCCTGTGGAGCCCAGGCCAGCTGGCAGCAGCAGTATTTATTTTGAAGATGACTGACAGCCCAGCAGGGATCAGGTTTTCACCTCACAGCCCAAACATTGTTGGTGCTCCCCTATGCCAGATTTGGGCAGCAAACATCCTGTCCCTGAAGGAAGCTGAAGGGAGGCAGAAGGCTCACAGGCACATCTGGAAACCCCTGCACAAGCAGCTGTTGTTGTTGGGATAATGTGGGGTTTAAGGGGTGACCAGTGGCTCTATGCCCCTCTGATTCTTTGGGGCTTCACTGTGGGGTTTGTACACACAAAGAAAATGCTCAAAAAGCCAAAAGGCTTTGAACTGGGCTGGAGTGTGGGCTGTGTGTCCAGAGTTTGTTCTGTACAGCTGTAAATTATGTAGATGGATGATAAATTATTTGTATAGGTGTCGTGGATCGCTTGTACCAGAAGAAATGCCAATTTAAAGAAATTAAGACAAACCCGAGCTGAAACTGCCAGTTGGTTGTTGTTGTGAGTTTGCACGTGGCTGGGGATGGATGCCCAGGAGTTCCACTTGAACATGAGGTTCAGTTTCTGCCCTGTGCAGTGACCGAGCCCTAAATTTCTGGAGGGCAGGATGGGATATCGGTCCAGCCTGGCACTGCTGGAAGCTGATCCTGCCTGGGTCAGCTGGATCCTGAGCAGGGCTCCTCCAGCTGCTGAAACAGCCTGTCAGGGACAGCCACAACCCCAGAAAGAGAGAGGGGAGTTTATTTCTGTCCCTCACTAACCAGGGGACCCCCAAAGCAATACCTGGGCACAGGTGCACAAGCAGAGAGCAGCACTTGGTCCATGCCAGAGGATCTCCTCCACATGGAGTTATCCCAGGTTATTCCCAGCTGGAAGCCACTGGTTTTCAGCCTTCCTCTTTTAACCCATTTCTGGCTTAAGCCTCCGTACCCGCCCTGCCTCCACCTCCAAGGCACAGATTTCAGCTGCTCTCCAGGAGGTAAGTTTTGATATAAATGAAACATTAGTGTCTGATGTCATCAAAAAATCTTCAGTGTTTAAGGGGTTTAAATGAGCCTTGGAGTCTCTTCAGCTACCAGCAAAGGCTGCTGTCAATTGATCAGGTATTCCTTGGTCAGGGAATCACATCATTCCTGTGAAGAAGGATGGATTTTAGTAACATCTGCCTGAGTGGCTCACAAGTGCCCAAACAGGCAGCTGCAAAAAGCAGAATATTTATGGAAATGCATATTTAATATGGCATATGCAAATGGCCTGACAGTGTGTCACCCTGCCGTGTTGTGGGCTCAGCAGGAAGTGCTGGAGACAAGGAAAGGACTCCTGGGTGATAATTCCTTTCTCTGTATGAATCAATCCCGCATTATCTGTACATCAGATGCTTTCAGGGTAATTAGCTCTCTCTTTTCCTAGCACCAATCCTCTGTGCCAGCACAATGCTCTGCTGGAATGGCTCTATAGATAGAATTGTCCTGTGCCAAGAATAGCTGGAACTTTTTATTAAGATGTTATCTTCTCCCAGGAATTCAAACACGAGTGGAGCAATTTTGATGTCAAGAATTTCTCCTGGTCTTGTTATTGTGTAATACCTAAGGAACAAAGCAAGTTAATGGGGATCTGCCTGCACTCAGTCATCCCTGCACACAGCACATCCAGAGCCTTTGTTAGAGGCACAGAAAGAGCTGCAATGGTTTGAAATGCAGCTGCTGCTTCAGCTGCCGGTGCTGCCCTCGTTAGAAGCTGATTACCTGGGTGAGCTGTGCCCTTTCCATCTGCCTCAGCACAGCAGCAGCTGCTGGATTCCAGTTTCACAAGGAGAGGCCTCGGAGTGACAGGTGCCTGTCCATCCTGGAGCTCCCCTGAATCAGCACCAAATGTGTTTAATGGATTGATAATCTTAAAAAAACACCTTATTGTGCAAGATTATTACATTGACGTTCAGCTTTGGGCATTCTCTTGAATCCTGCCCGTTCACAGCACGAGTGCATCTCCCTAAGGAGAAGAGGAAGATCCATTGCATCTCCTCAGCCTCAGAATTCCAGGACCTGGGCGAGGGAAGAAACCCAGGCTGCTCCTGTCAGGTGTGGAGCACATGCTGCTCCTGTCCCCAGTCTACACTTTCCTCCACACTCTGGGATTTTCCCAGGAGGATTCCATCCTATCCACCAGGTCCAATGGTGTGTGAATTGTATCCTGACTGTGGGTGACTCTGGACTGCCTGATTTACTCCCATGCTTTTATTGGGGATAAAGTGAGTGTATAAAATGCATTAAACTCAAATTCAGCCCCCAGCAGATCTGGCTGCTCACAGTGAAAGTCATCCTGGAGAGTAATTGCCTGAAAAAATGATTAAAATATTTACAAGTTCATTTTCTCTGTGCTTCAGAGTGACCAAAACAAGGTGAATCACTGCAGCCCTGCTGGTTCCAGGGCTGGTGGGTGCTCATCATTTAATGAGCTGAGAGGCAGCCACTTCATGGCTGTCCTTCCTTGCACATCCAAACACCCAAACCAATCCCGGGGTGGCCCTGTCCCACAGCTGGGAGCCTGGCAGGTCCTTACAAACCCAGGGCATTCCTGAGCAATTCCCTGGAATACTGGAACTCCCTGTTTGACAAGGACCACCCTTTCAGCTCACAGCCCACCTCCATGGCCTCCTGGCTTTGTGCTGCTCTTGGGAGAGGTGCTTCTGCATTTTCCGAGTTCTGGAGCAAGGAGCTGCTGCTGCATTTCTTTCCCAGAGCAGCAGCTCCCATTGTCCTGTCTTTCCCCACCCCCGTTTTTACACAGAGACTTAATTTTTGCCTCCTCATTATGTTTATATTCCACTGTTATCCTCAAAGAATGAAGCCCCATCTCTCTGGCACATGTTCTGCTCCAAATCATTTGACTGGAGCTCCTCTTTGGCTGTTGAAGGTGGGAATTCTAAGATTTGCTTAGGTGTGTGTTTCACTGGCTGGAGGTGAGGCTGCTGCCATCAGAGCCCACGGGATGGTTCTGGGCAGGGGCTGATGCTCCAGAGCCCTCCCTGTTGTCACTGTGTCCCTGCTCTCCAGCCAGTGGCACTTCCCAAAGTGTCCCTGAGCCTTTGGACGTGTGCGTGGGGACAGCAGTGCCACCTACGGGCACCTGCTGGCTGAGAAGTGTCACAGCAGAGGACGCTTGTGTGTCCCCTCGGTGTGTTTTGGGGAAGGGGGTGTTGAGGTGTGTCCCTCCACAGCTGTGAAGCCTCACCCAAGCACTCTGGGAGCACAAACCCCCGTGGGTTTGCAACCCACACCCATCTCCACCTTCCTGAGCCCATTTTCTGGGTCCAGCCTTCAGGACAGTGGCACTGGCCATTGTTGTCCTGGACGAAGAGAGGAGAGACCACCAGGGTCCTGCTGGATTTCAGCCCTTGGAGCATTGTCCAAACTCTTTCTGCTGGGTTTTTCCATGGGGAAAACTTGCATCTACCGGAAAGCAGAGCTGCCCTGGCTCAGCAGCAGGTCTGGGGGGGCTGTTTGGTGCTGTGGCTCACCCCCGANAGCAGGAGCGGAGCGGAGGGAGCAGCAGGAGCGGAGCGGGGGGAGCAGCAGGAGCGGAGCGGAGCGGAGGGAGCAGCAGGAGCGGAGCGGAGCGGGGGGAGCAGCAGGAGCGGAGCGGAGGGAGCAGCAGGAGCGGTGCGGGAAGAACGGAGAGAGCCCCCGCCCCGGCGGAGCGCAGCTCTCTGGGCTGCGGATGGAGGGCAGCCGCGCTTCTCCCCGCTACGGATCCATGGAATCCACCCGATGGCCGCCGGCCGGCGCGGGGCCAGGTGAGCGGGACGGCACCGGGATCGGTACCGGGATCGGCATCTCCCGAGCCCAACTTCCCCCGCCCCCGGGACTCCGGGACAATCCGGAGCCCCGGGAGCCGGCCGGGAACCGGCGGCTTCACCCACCAAAAGAAGCCCAGCCGGGGTCCCCGGACCGGGGCACTGGTGCCGCTGGAGCCCCGTATAGCGGCCATAGGGAGTGGGGAAGGATGGATGGATGGATGGATGGATGGATGGATGGATGGATGGATGGATGATGGATGGATGGATGATGGATGGATGATGGATGGATGATGGATGGATGGATGGATGGATGATGGATGGATGGATGGATGGATGATGGATGGATGGATGGATGGATGGATGATGGATGGATGGATGGATGGATGCATGGATGCATGGATGCATGGTGGCAGGGAGGATGTCTGGAGGGACACACTGGGGCAGCACAGTCACATCTCACTGCTGCTGCCCAGCCACACACGGGGCACAGGAGGGCTCACCCTGTCCTTCACCGCCTTTGCCCCTCTCTGACCAGTTCCTCAAGCAGGACTCCAGCTGAGAAGAGCGGGGGATGACAAGCAGGGGAATTGCCTTGAGCAGAGCTCTCGACCTTGAAGGAAGGGTCGCAGTGCTGGGCTGTGCAGAGGGGAGGTGCCTGCAGTCCCTCTGCTCTGCCCCAAGTTCGACCTCTCCCCTTCCCTGTCCCCCTCTGCTGCCCCTTGCACACAGTGGGGCAGGGACAGGCAGCTGGAGAGGCAGGGGAGGAGGGATCAGCCGGCTCCAGTATCCTGCTGGGTACTGCCTGGGGGGGTGTGTGGTGCCCAGGAAGCTGCTCAGCTCCTGGGTGAGCTGTAGGGAGTTTTGGTCCTTTTTCTTTGTGCCTTTCCTGGCAGTGTGTATCCTCTGCCACACCTCCTGTGGGGCTCTGAGAACCTTCATCGCCCGCATCCTCTGCTCCAGCAGCTGGGTGACAATGGGGTGGGCCAGGGACTGGACTCAGGGTGCTGGGTATGGCCTGGACATCCCCCATGGGTGAGCTGTGGTGGCTGCGATTTTGCTGTTTCAGTGCAGTTCTGTGAGCTCCCAGCTCCTGGGGACCTTGGGATGGATGAGAACGTGGCAGTAATCCCTGGCTGCTGTTTGGACGCTGCTCTGCTGCTTGCTCCCAGCCAGGAAAGCTCAGACCAAGGCATGCAGCACTAAGCTCCTGGAGCCTCTTGTCCTGCTGGAGTTTGGGCTGAACGTCCCCTGTCCCTGCTGCTGTCAGGAGCAAAGGAAAACACATGGCTGAGTTAGAGGCTTCTTGGGATGGTGCCCCCATAAAGAGCTCTAACCCCTCCACAGGAGGCTGTCAATCAATTTCCCAACTTTAATCAGGAAGAAAATTGCTTGAAACTCACCCTGTGCTGTTGGCTGTGGTGACTCATCCCAGGCTTGCTGCTGGCTGTCCAAATGTTTTCCCCAAACCACCTGGAATGGAAGTCTCTGGCTATTACACCACTCATTAGTGGAGGGGGCCCTCCCTGGGCTGGATGTGATGATTAGAGCATCTCCAAATTTCTGTCAAAGCTTTCTCCCCTCCTTGGTTTGGCAGGCCAAAATGGTGCCAAGCAGGATCCCTTTGGCTCAGGCACTGAGGGGTTTCTGTTTGGGGGGTTTCTGTTTGGGGGGTTTCTGTGTGTGGGTTCTGTGTGTGGGGTTTTTGTTTGGGGGGGTTCTGTGTGGGGGTTCTGTGTGTGGGGGTTCTGTGTGGGGGGGTCTGTTTGGGGGTTCTGTGTGTGGCTGTGCTGCTGTGGGAGAGCTGTGGGAGCAAAGGGACCCCTGGGCAATGTGACCACACTTGGGCCCATCCCTGTCCATCCCCAACGGAAGAATTGGACTGTGGGCTTGATCCCAGCTTTAAAGAACACCCTGACTTGGTGTGATGCCTTGGGTATCACTTTCTCAAGGTGCCCCTTTCCAGGGTTCATGGGACTCATTTTCCAGGAGTTTTCTCCTGGCACTGCCTTCCCTCTGCTTCTGCCCTGAATTCAGCAGCTCCAGGGACACAGAGGTCCTCTCAGAGCTTCTTGTCCAGCACTGACTGGTTTGGGGAGCAGTTCCCTGGAAGGCCTGAGGGATGCAGGGTGCCAGGACTTGAGCACAGCACCTGAAGGCACAGCCAAGGGCTGGCACCCTCCAGCTGAGCCCTGTGGCCCTGGCTGGGCTGTGCCATGACCTTCCCATTGTCCCCATGTCCCAGGACACTCCTGACCTGGTGGGTGTCAGACAGAAAGGTGATTTTGGAGCAGTGTGTGAGGGCAGGGTGGTGCCAGCCACACCCCAAAGCTGAGCCAGGAGCTTTTCTGCTCTTGTGGGCACTGCCCAGGGGCTGGAATTATATCCCAGCCTCCTGCTGCAGGTGAGGGAAAGCAACGCAACCCGGCCACCTCCTCCCCTCCCAGCCCTGTCACCTCCACTTCTCCCAGCTCTGTCACCCCCTCCCCTCCCAACCCTGTCACCCCCTCCCCTCCCAGCCCTGTTACTCCCTTCTCTTCCAGTCCTGCCATCTCCTCCCTTTGCCTACACAGGGGAGGATTCACGTCTCCCACCTGGAATGCCTGTGCCAATGACATTCTGGGATGAGAGGCAGAAGGGATGCTGCCAGCTGTTCCAAGCCCTGGCATCCCTGCCAGCACCAGCAGAGAGCAGAAGCATTCTGGGTTATTCCCCAGCCGGGCAGGCCGGGAGTGACCGTCCCCCGCCAGCGCCGCCCCTGTGCTCCCGGGGCTGCTCGGTGTGTCCCTGGGGGTGGAGGCAGCAGGAAGCTCCGGGCTGATCTCTCTGTGTTTATTGGCACACGGGGACAGCCACCAGCCCTGTCACAGAGGGGACACAGCACTGCAGCTTTTGATGACAGCTCTGGGGCTGAGCTGAGTTACAGCCCCAGGGAGTGGCTGCCCACAGACACATCCCAGCTGTGCCACCTGCCCCTCCAGCTGTGCTGGTACCTGCACATCTGCCAGCATCTGCCTGGGCCATCTCCAGCTGCTCAGCAGGGTGCAGCTGCAGCAAAATATCCCAGGCCAGACGAGCTTTGGGGTAGCAGAGCCCCAGAGCGCTTGGGATGAGGGACCTCGGCATCCTAGGGGTTGAGGGACCTGGTCCCCTAGCAACTGCACTCTGGTCCCTTAGCAACCACATCGTGATGCTGTAGCAGCCACAGGCCAATCTCTTGGCAACCTGGTCAGGAATCGAGGCAAAGGGAGGTGGTTGTGCAGAGCCCGGGCAGGAGCTGCTGGAGGGCTCATCCAGCCTCACACCCTGCCCAGCCCAGGGGTTTGTCTGTCCTGAGCAAGCACTGGCTGCTGGGAGCATCCTGATGCTCTGAACAGAGAATGAGGGAGGAGTCGCCCTGGCATCAGCTGAGCATGGTCTTCGAGCCTGGGGGCAGAGAGAGAACCTGCAAGAAGTCCTCATGTGTTTCCAAGCCAGAAACAGTGGGAAACTCTTCTCCAAACCACTCACATAAATCCAAACCATCCTGCATCCTGCATCCAAGACCTTTCCTGCTGGAAGTCTTGGAAACGTGTCCCACTCCAGGAATGATTTCCTGAGCAGTGTTACATGATGAGGAGAGGACAGAGAGTGCAGAGTGTCTGGTCTTGTGCCTTAGAGTTTATCTCTTCCTGCCCTGTAACACTCAGCACTGGCCTGGCTCCTGCTTGGAATGCCCACACCACACACCCTGACGTCTCCTAACATCCCTGCCTGGCATCCCACTCCTGGAGCAGCTCCATGGCCGTGCTTCCCCTGCATTGGGAAAGTCCCAGGGCTGCAGGAAGGCAAAACCTCAGAGGGGAGGTGTGCCCCGTGAAGGTTCAAAGGAAGCAGACTTAGCCCCTGAAGGAATATTTGGAAGGGTTTGGAAATGTTCTCCCACAGCCTGGCTCTGCTGCAGCCCCTGTCCCCAGCACATCCCAGGAATGTCAGATTAGCTGGGATGTGAGGAAGGTGTTGACACTGGTGACAGGCTGTCGTGTCTGAGAGCCAGACCAGGCTGGGAGCTGCCTGGAGCAAATCCTCAGCTCTTCCCATAAAGCTGCCTGGGAGTCTTTGTGGGATCCACACAACATCCACGAGGAAACCTGTGGGACAGTCTGGAGCAAACGCGTGGGATTTGTGTGTGAGTCACAGAGGGGGAGGCAGAGCTGCTGGTCAAATCCACAGATGGAGGTGGATGGGCTTTCATCCTATCCGTCCCTCTAAAACATCAATTACAGCCCCCTTATCCCACATTTCTCGGTGAAGCTCCTGCCTCTCACCCTGAGCAGGTGACCCTCCTTTCTCTGCCTCAGTTTCCCCAGGTGGGGGCTGGATGTGATCCCCAGCAGTGCAGAGGGTGAGGGAACTGAACAGGGGGGCTCCACTCAAGTGGGCTGGGAAGGATGGGGTGGTGTTGATCCAGCGTGTGGTAGAGGGGGAGCAGCAGAAGGAATTTCAGCCCTCTGACTCCTCAGCTCCGAACTTTGTGTGCCCTGGGTTTGCTCCTGGTTGTGCAGCCCAAGAGGGCTGGGCAGGTTCAGGTCTCTGTGCTGGACATGCTGGAGGCTTCCACAGCTCTGGAAAATGCCATTCCCATCCTTCCCTCCAGCAGTTCCCAGCTCCCTTGGCCTCCTGCTGCTCGGAGAGGGGGAGAGCCTTTGTCCCAGCACAGAGCGCTGGGAGCAGGGCAAGTGCTGCTGTTCCCAAGGCTGCCCTGAGGTCCCTGCTGGGCTCCTGCTGTCTCAGGCAGCTCCCATTACTGCCTTTTCCAGAGGATGAGATCGTGTCCATGGCCGACTCCACCACCACCATCGATGAGATCGAGGGAGAGCTCTTCAGGATTGAGCGGATCCGGGAGATTCTGGTGCGCAGGGAGTCAGAGCTGCGCTACATGTGAGTCCCTGTCCCCCTCCTGTGCTGCTCCCTCCCAGGGACACCCCACGTCTCCTCCTGCCCGACCGAGCACAGCTCAGTCCCAGGGATGAGCAGGGCTGAGGCTACTTCCCACCTTGCTTCCATTTCAATAATCAGAGAAGTTCTGGAATAAAATTCTCCAGGTGTTTCAGATCTAAGCCCCTGTGTTGCAGTGGTACCCACCACTCGGGGGGACACAGGACATTTTCCATGGGTCTAGCAGGACATTTTATATCTTTGGAGGAAAAAGCCTGACTAATATCCATAGTTTGGGTTGATGAAGCTTTTTGATATCACTAAAGGGCTGTAGTTAGCCCAAACCTCAGATCCCACCCTGCCAGCCCAGCACAAAGTGGGATTTTGGTGAAGGTGACATTTCCTGGGCTGAAGCACTTCCTGTGCTGCCTTTTGGATGTGACTGGGTCCCCACTGGTCCCTGCACTGAGGGACCCACAACCTGGAAATCCCTGAGTAAACCCGGTGTGAGTGGGGTTGGGAGCTGCCTTAGAGGCTCGGATTTGGAGCCTCTCCAGTCACAGTTCCCCCTGAGCTCATTGAAAAGGATTTTTGGAGATCATCAAAAGTGTATCTCTTCAAGGCTTTCCATGGCAACGGTACCTGATCCTCTCAGGTGCTGTCATAGCTCCCAGCTCTGGTGTTTCCTTAACGCTTTGTTTGGTTTCTCCCTTGGAAACCAAAGGCAAATCTCCTGCAGAGACCTCATGACAGGCTTGGCTGCAAAAACGATCCCGTGGGTTTTGGGACACGCCAGAATTGCCTGGCTGGAAGGTTTTGGGTGCTATGGGCAATTGACCTTGGCTCTGCAGGGCCCAGGAGGGAGACTGGGAAGGCTGAGGAGCTTCCTGGGGCACTGCTGCTGAAGCAGGGGGATCCCAGAGCTGGGCTCTGCAGAGGCTCAGAGAGGTGGGAAGCTGGGGCTGCAAGGCCTTTTTTGATTCCCCAGTGCGGGGAAAAGGTGATGCTCAGGGTGGCTGGACTGCAGGGCCCAAGGAGATGGAAAACTCCCAGGATGTGCAGCTGAACAGAACAGTGACCTCGATAAAAACCAGTGCTTGCTCCTAGCTGGAAATGTCAGACTGAAACATTCCAGCATTTCTGGTACCTGTCTGTGCTCTGGAAAACAATGAGGCACCAAACACTTCTCCTTTATAGAGCAAAAGGCAAGGTCTGTAATTCCTGTGGGAGGTTCAGCTCCACCCTGGTCCCTCAGTGCTCCCTGGGACCAGCCAGGGACACCTGGCTCTGGCTGATGCTGCCATAGGTGTCACCAGCAGGGGTAGAAACAATCCCAGCCCCAGCAGGAGCCTCCTGCGTGCTTGTCCCTGTAACCCCTCCTAATTTTAATTGAAAATAAAATTTATTATTTTATATTCTCCTTATCAAATTTTCCAGAATTAATTTCATTTAAATGCAATAATCATTCAGCTCTCGTCTGACTGTTCATTTTCATTTTAATCAGTGTGACCCCAGCAATCTCTGTTGTCCCCGTGGCCCCCCTGTGGTGCTCTGGACACCCTCTCTGTTATATTTCACGTTTCTATGTTTCTTTTATTTAATTTTGCAGGCAGGTGGGATAGAAAAGATCCTTTATATGGCAGAAAATTCCACTTCTTTTTGGATTTTGCTCTTTGGGGATTATTTTCTGGGGCCAGGAGAAGCACAGCAGCTCTTGTCTGGTGGATGGGCCAGATTTTGATAAGGCTTTGTTATAATTCAGGTAATGAAATTTTCCTCTGCCAACAACCAGCACCCCAACAGAACTCTGGGATGCAGCAAGCTGGCATTTCCCATGGGTAGGCAGGGAAATATGGGATCCCCACCACAGGTATTGGCTGGGTGTTGCTCTGGGGGTTTTGAACCTTTTCTCTCCCAGTTTTCCCCCTCAGAGGTTGTGTTTGTGTCTCCGCAGGATGGACGACATCCAGCTTTGTAAGGAAATCAGCCGGCTGAAAACAGAGCTCCAGAGACTCCTGGCCCTGCCAGGTAAGGCTCAGGGTGAGCTCCACGAGGCTGCTGTGCTCCCCAGCCCAGCAGAGGTGGGGTGAGGAGAGGGGCAGGCAGGGCCCAGCTGTGCACAGCTGTGTCCCCAGGCTCCTCCTCACTGCTGTGCCCGGGGCTATCCCAGAGCCCACCGTGGCCCTGGCAGGTGCCACCATGCCACCATGTGCCACCAGGCTGTGCTTGGCAACCTGCAGCACGGAGGCAGAGCCCAGGTGCTGCTTAATGTTCAGGTGCTGCTCGCTTCAATAGACCTGGCTCGGCATCCAGATGGAGGCTCAGCCAAAAACATCCTGCCATAAAAACAGGAGCTCCTTGCAAAACAGACCTAAATCTCAAGGGGGTTTTTAATTCCAACCCCTTCCAGTCCATAAACCAAGGTTTTCCCTAAACCATGGCTCAGAGCAGAGATAAATTGGTCTTTTCTGCTACTGAAGAAATAAGCCTGGCTTTCCTTCATCTGCTTTGGGCTTTCATTTATTGCCTTTTCAGCACTCACAGACTCAGCTGAGAGCAGAAATTCTGCTCTTTTTGTCTTCTTTATAAGTTGACTCAGACCAGACCATGCTGGAAAAATCCCGCACATCCCCGTTCTTGTGAGACAGCCACGGCAGCCTTGGGTTTGGATAAGGACAGGAACACGTCAGTGCTTACTCAGAGCCCAGCCAGGGCTGGGGCTCAAAATGTCCCCAGCCAAGGTGCCTTTAATGATTCAGATCATCATCACCATGGCATGATGGGCTCTGACATCAGCCAGGGGGGTGGAAGGAGCAGAGTTTGTCAAGTGGGACTCTGACAGGTGGGGGCTGCTCAGAGACAGTGCCCATGTGTCCCTGCACTAATTCAGGAGCTGGGATAGCCCGGCCCCCAGGCCAGAGCAGGTCCCTGTGCCAGGGACTTCATTCCCTGCACCAGACCACAGGAAAATCCTTTGTTTGCTGGGAATGTTTTACAACAGGATGTGTCTGAGGGGTTCCTCCTACCTGGCAGCACCTGGATCAATCCTTTCCGCTACAAATCAATCCTTGGTTTAGGACCTGCTGAGACCCAGCTGGCTCCATCCTGTGAATTTTGCTGTATTTTTATTTAGCTGAGCGAAGGCTCGTGGTTGACCCATCTGGCTGGTTTGGGGTCTGGCTAGAGAATTCAGACTTGGCATTACACAGCACAAACAGCCAGACTTCCCAGCTCAGGTGGCTCTCCATTGAAGCTTCCCACTCCTTATCCCCCTGGCTGCTGGCTCTACGTATCCCACTGTATCCCATTCCATACTGGCTTACACAGGACAGGAATTCTGGGAGAGTCCTGCAGGCCTTCTCTCACTGCCCAAAGAGCTGCAGCACAGGTGGGTCCTGCCCAGGGTAGGCCAGTCAGGAGCTCAGTGACAACCAAGGCTGAGGGATTCCAGAAGAGCCTGGCAGACACTTGTGGCTGGGGTGGGAAGGGGTTTGGAGAGGGTGGGATTGCCAGGACCAGTGAGGAAATAAGGGCGCTAAATAGAACCCAGTGGATTGTGAGGCTTTTTGTGTCTGCATGTGTGGAATGAATGGTGGGAGGTGTTCCCAGGGTAATTGACATTGGCAATTCCCTGGACACCTGAATCCCCAGTTCCTCAGGCACAAGGAGGACCTGGCTCCAAGGTCTCTGGGCTCTTACCCAGCCTAGGGCCAAGCTCGGGCTCCATGGGTTGGGAAATGGGGTCAGACACATCCCGGCTGTGGGACAACACCCGAGCTAACACATCTGAGCTTGCTGGGCCCTGCAGCAGAGCAGGGCAGGGCCCCGTGGCCACCTCCCACCAGAGAGGGCACCTTGAGGGGTCCTTTCTGTGCTCTGCACAGCTTATGGTGGCACCTGGCAGAGCTCAGCCCTGGCAAAGTTTGGGGAGAAGCTAAACCCTGAAATGTGAGGGCAGCAGAGCTGTCACCTCCAGCCAGGGGGGTTGGGTCGAGATTCCTGCTCTGCTTCCTTTGGATTGGCTTTGCTCCCACACTCAGAGTTGAGCAGAACGGAGCAGGCCTGGCCTTGGTAGGGGATGGCCCCTGTGGGGGTGTGAAACGTGCTCCCTGTGGGTGTGAACTGTGCTCCCTGTGCTGCAGAGAACCAGAAATCCAACGAGGAGAAGCAGAGGGAAGAGGAGCTGGTGCAGCAGATCCACAAGCTGGTGGAAACGAGGGATTTCCTGGTGGATGATGTGGAGTTCGAGAGGCTCAGGTAGCTGGTGTCAGCTGTTGCTTGTGCTGGGGACAATGCAATCCATCCCCTGAGCTGTGTCCTGCCTTCCCAGAGTTCCTGGGGGCCTTGCTGCTCCTTTCCCAAGCAGTAACCAAGCTCTTTGTCACAGGGAAAGGGAAGAAGACAAGGAAATGGCCGAGTTCCTGCAGAGCAAGCTCTCCAAAAGCTACCTCCAGAGAGCAAGTGGGTGCTGACAGGGTTTATTCCTTGCACTGAACCTACCTGGCATTTGTCGCCAAGCACTCTGCCTCCAAGATTTTACTGACTGGGACTGGCTTACCTGGAGGAGGGTGGGGAAATGGAACGGGGGGATCACATTGTGGGAGCACCTGGAATTGGAACACATGTTTGGAATCCATTTTCCTCCTGGCATTTCCCACCATGTCCTATCAGAATGGGGCTGGGGAGGGGCTCTCTTGGAGCTGCCAGACTTCATCTGGCCCTTTAACACTGGCTCACGCCTCAGGTGGATGCAGGATGGACACCACATCCTTGGATGACAGCCAGCCCCTTCTCTGTGCTACTTCACTTCCCCAGGGAGGCATTCCCAGCTCTGGGGACACCTCAGAGCACCCAGGGCAGTGTGCTGGTGGTGGAGCTATGCAGAGCTGTGGCTCTGAAGGGTCAGCAGCAGTCCCAGAGGAACTCTGAGCACCAGCCCCAGGCTGTGCCCTGTCCCCAGGCAGACCTGGATTCCTCTTCCTGCAGCTCCTGCCCGAGAGAAAAAGATGACATCAAGGGGACAGCAAACCTCAGCTCCCTACATGAGCAAGACAGGCCTGACCCTGCTCAAGGAGTGCTGTGGCTTCACCTGCTCCATCATGTAGGGCATTTCCAGCCCCTGGCACAGGACATGGCCATGGTAGGGGCACATCATGACAGTCTGGGATGGGCAGGAGGGGCTTCCTTGGTGCTGGCCCTTCCTTGGAGCTGTTTGGTTCTCCCTGGAGAACAGGGAGATGAGCCGAGATTTTGGGAACAGGGATTGCCCAATGCACTGTCAGTGGCACAGGGCAATCCTGTGCCAACCAGGCAACTCCCATCCTGTGCCAGTGGGTCAGGACATACCTCATCCTGAATTCCAGGGGAATTCAGACCCATCGAGGTGCTGCCTGCCTGTGCAGCCTGGTGTGGGCTCCCCAGCTCACCCCAGAAGGAGGCTGAAGGGACCTGGGAGAGGTGGGGCTGGGATCCCCACTGGAGAAGCTGTGCCTGGCTCTAGCTGCCTCCCTGCCCTGTGGATGGCTCTGCTCCACAGCACCTGCTGCCAAAACTGGTGTTTGGAGGTGCAGACAAGGCCAGCAAGGCTAAGCAGCTTGGGGTGGGCTTCACCCCCTGGGTGATGAGCACAGAGCTGCAGCACCCCACTGACCCTGTGTGGGACAATCTCTGTGTGAGGGGAAGGTGCTGGTGCCAGGGGTCCAGGGGGTTGTAGCCTCTGGGGAAGGATTCATCTCATGCCAGTGGAGGTTTCCCTGTGGCCAGAGGCAGGAGTTCATCTCAGGGCAGTGGGAGCTCTGGAAAGCAGGGTTGGCTCCGTGGCCTCTGGAGAAGGGGACACATGGGGATCTGTGGCTTCAATTCCTGGTTTCTCACCTCCTGCCTTTGCTCCCCAGGTCTGCAGCCAGAGTCCTGCTCTCCTCTGAGAGATCCAGTGTCCATCACTGTCCACAGTTCCCCTGCAGCAGCAGCACCCAGGGCCCCCAGGCTGGATGGGCAGGTCTGGGTGCTGGCACAGGTCCTAATGGCCCCACATCCTCCGTGGCAGCACAGACACCACGCCCCACCTTGGCCTGGAAGCTGTGAGAGCAGCGGGGAGCCCATGGCACAGGAGAGAGCATCCCACATCTGGGCTGAGGGATAAAAACCACCTGGAGCTGCTGTTTGAAGAACATCCTGCTCCACCCTGGGAGTGTCCCTGGGGTAGTTCCATCCTGGAACTGATCCTGTCCTGGAGCCGATCCCATCCTGGGTGTCATGGGGTGGCTTTACCTTTAAGGTGGTTTTGGGAGCTAAGGAAGTTGAAGCTGCTGGTGGCTGATGGGAGTCTTTCATCCTGACCAATTATCAGTCATTTCTAAGAATTGACAGCAGTTTTGACCATTAATGAGTCCCTCTCTGCTCCACCAGAGACTCTCTAGGGCCGCTTTGCTTGGCCCACAGGGATTTGCTTTGATCCACACTCCCCAAAGGCTCCTCTCTGTCCTGCCTTCCCAGGGCCTTACTGGGACAGTGAGTGACCCAGCCAGTGAGTTTGGTGGGGCTGAGAGGGATCCAGAGGCCAGGAAGAGCCCTGGATTCCAAACTTGCCCCTGTGGAGCCAGCCTGGGCTGGAAGCAGTGCTGGTGCAGACAGGAGGACAGGCAGGGTCTGTGTGTCCCACCTGAGTTCCTGAGGTTGCTCCTGGAGAAGGCTCAGGCTGCTCCCCTGGGCACATAGAACTGCTGGAACAGCTGGGAAAGTGCCCAGCCCACAGGAGTGGCACTGGTTCATGTGCATTGATCTCAACCCAAACCAATAAATGTCTTTTGGAAGCTCTGTAGGCATTTTCCCTACCTGGGACCTTTTGAGGAGATGGCCCAGGGTGGGCAAAGAGAAGCAGAAACCTGATCCTAAACAGCCAGGCTGGGCTTTGGCGTTCCCTGGAATGCCCAGAGCAGCTCCTGCTGCTGCAGCAACACCCCCAACCTTTCCACTTCTGGCTCTGACCCACATTTCACTTTTGGTCCCTCAGTGTCCTCCACCGGCCCCTGGGGGCAGCCGTGTCCCCAGCTGTCCCTTGCAGGCAGGGGCAGAGCTGCTCCTGTCCCATGAGCTCCTGCCACCACCGAGAGGCACCCATGTGGGTGACAGGGTGGCCCTGGAGGGGACAGCTGAGTCAGCTCTCAGGGCGGCTGTGGATGATCCCATCCCTTTGGAGATGTCGCAGCTGAGATGAGATGCAAGGGCACAAAGGCACAGCATCCTCTGCACTCTGGCATGGGGCAGAAGCTGACTTTTCCAGAGCAGGCAGCAGCTCTTGGTGGCACCATCAGTGTCTCTGTGAGACCTCTGGGAGCCTGCAGGGCTCAGTCCCTCCTGCTATTCTCTCTCTTCTGCTTCTGAGTATTTGGGCTCACAGAAGAGCAGGGAAGATCAGCAGGAAATGAAAAGATGCCTTAAAATAATTGCTATTTATTTTAGTCTGCAATATCTGAAGGGTTCTCTCATCTCTTGTTTCCCTGCCTGCCCTGCTGCTCTCCCACTGGCAGGGCAGGTTCTCACAGAGGTCGGCTGCGCTCCTTCATGTCCTCTGTGAAGTCCTGGAGGTCGTAGATAAACTGCTGGATCTGGGAAAGGGAGAGGGCAGGGTCAGGGCAGGAATGGGAGCAGGAGGCAGAGGAGACCCTGTCCCTCTTGAAGGACAGATGTCCCCAAGCTAAGTGGCAGCACAAGAAAGCACATGCCATGGCCATGGCTGGATCTGCATCGCTGCACCCCGAGCCCCTGCACCCCTGAGCTCCTGCACCGCCTGTCCCTGCACCCCTGCACCGACTGTCCCTGCATCCCTGCACCGACTGTCCCTGCATCCCTGCACCGCCTGTCCCTGCATCCCTGCACCGACTGTCCCTGCATCCCTGCACCGACTGTCCCTGCACCCCCTGCACCACCTGTCCCTGCACCGCCTGTCCCTCCATCCCTGCACCACCTGTCCCTGCACCGCCTGTCCCTCCATCCCTGCACCACCTGTCCCTGCACCCCCTGCACTGCCTGTCCCTGCCTGGCTCCCACTCCCTGCTCCAGCTGCTGGGAAAGGCCAGGTTTCCCTGGTGTCCCACCACTGCCCAAGGACCCCAGGGGGGAAGGGAGGCTGTGTTGGGCCTGGGGGTTCCCCCTCGCCTTGGGAGAGCCATTCCTGCTGCTTTTCCTGGGCGGTGAGCAGGCTCTGCTCTCGCTTTACCATGTCCAGCTGCCTGTGGCTGTCCCCAGCTGCCACCCTGCCCTTTGGCTGGAGCCGTGCACTGGCGGCCTGGAAGAGGCTGTGGATGGCCATGGTGAGGGACTTCAGTTCCGTGGCCTTCCCTGCAGCCCTCTCCTGGACCTCGGCCCAGTGATCCTCCTGGGGGGCACAAGACACGTCCCAGCAAAGCTGCTTCAGCTCAGAGACTCCAGGTTCCACCCTCATCCGGGCTGGACAGAATGCGGCCTTGCCCAGGGCTGGGCTGGGGCCGGCTCAGCCCGGTGTGGTGGGAGCAGATCCAGAACCAGCCCAGCTGCTTTGCAGCTCACCCTGGCATGGCCTCCTGCCAGCCCTGTGCCCTCCCCACCGCAAGGACAGCAGCAGCACTGCCACTGCCCATCCCTGACCTGCTTCCAGCTCTTCCTGATGACAAACCTGCTCCCAACCGGGCTCTCCCTGCTCCTCCTGCAGCCCCGTGGGGCAGGATGGGCTCAGGCATCTCCTCCCACCAACAGCTCTGTTGCTGAGCCTGCCACGAGCCGCGGCTGCAGGAAGAGCCAGCGGCCCCTCCTGACTCCACCAGGCCTTGGGGAGCTCCCCTGCCCACCCAGAGCTCCTTACCCACTGGAGGATGTCGCTCTGAGCCTGCTCAAGAGATTCTTTGAGCTGCACTAGGTCATTCTTGCACTGAAGCATCTCAGCTTCCTTCTTTGCCCTGATCTGCTGCTGCAGGACCTTGCCCTGCTCCATCAGCTGTCGGTACCACCACTGGGACTGCAGCAGGTCCTTGCGTGTCCTCAGCAGGGCCTTGTAGTAGGAGATGATGTCCTCGATGTCCCGGAACTGCAGCATGGGACCTTGGGGTCAGTGACATCCTGCCCTCCCCTCACCGGCTTTCCCTGCCCTAAGCAGGGCCAAGGCCTCCCCAGCTGGAAGATCGTCCCTTCTCCATCGTCCCTGCTGGTCCCTGGGCATGGTCACATCCCCTGGGCACCCACAGCACAAGGCCTGGCACTGACACAGGGGAGGTGTCACAGCTCTGCCCCAGGGGAGCAGCACTGGGATGAAACAGTAGCTCCATGTGCCCAGGCCCTGGGAGGCAGCAGGAGCACAAGGGATGCGTGGAGAGATCTCCCAGCGCCCTGGAGAGGAGGCACAGCTTTCTTGTCAACTGCCTGGGTCCCATCCCTGGGCACTTCTCACCCCTCCCAAGCCATCAGTGTGACCTGGAATGATGACAGCGAGGGCGTCCCACACCCCTCAGTGCTGAGCTTTCTCCCCTTCACATGGTTTCCATTCAGTTTCTCAATCCTCCATCTGTTCTGGTTCTCTTCTCCTGATGCCCTGTGGCCCACCTTGGTTGCAAGGGAACTCTTCCCACCCCACCTGGAGTCTCTGGGTTTGGTCAAGTGTGGATTTCCCTGGCCTTGCCTCATCCCCCCTGGTTCAAACCCAGGTGAGGCCCTCCCTGAGCCATGTCCAAACTCACCTGTGAATTCTCCACCACATTCTCCAGGTACCTCTTGAACAGGGAGTACTTCAGCAATTTTTTTGAGAATTTCTGGTGCTGTTTTCTGAGAGCTTCCAGTTTCTCCCTAGCCCTCAAGAGCTCACTCTCCTTTTTTGAATTCTCCTCTTTCTCTTCTTTGGCTTTCTTCAGAGCTTGGGTTCTCAGCCTTTCATTCTCCTGCACCACACTCAGCCAGAGGGGAAGGAGGGCAAGGGAAGGTGGAGCTGGGTCACTCAAGGGCACTGGGAAGAGACTCCTCCAGAGAGGAGACCCCAACACTGCAGCACCCCAGGACCATTGCCCCTCCCTGTGTCCAGGGCCTTCCCTGGGAGATCCCAGGGCATGGGACAAGCTCTCTCCTAGCCAGGGTACAAATTCCTGTTCCTCATAGCTCCAGCCTCAGGGGAGGCTTGGCTGGGAGTGCTGACCCAAGGTTCTTCCCAGGGGAGAGGAGTTGGTGCTGTGGCTGAGCAGGGGCGGTGCCAGGTGTGCTGCTTGTGCCAGGTGTACGAGGTGTGCCAGGTGTACCTTTACAGTCGTCCCAGATGTCACCACGTGGGCTTTCAGCTGGGCCCTCCTGGCATGCAGGTCCCTCCACTGCTCAGCAAGGGCCTCCATCCTCTCCGTGAAGGCCTGGCAGCACGGGAGCGAGGGTGACACGGCTGCCACAGCCAGAGCCCCTCCCTGCCTGCTCCTGCCACCCTCAAAGCCCCCCCAGCTGTGTCCCAGCACCCTCCCAGCTTCCTCACCTCCTCTGTCTCTTCCACAACCTTCTCCATCAGCCGCACTTCTTTCATCTTCTTCAGGACGCAGATAAATGAGTTCGTGGAGTCCTCCTCTTTGGCCCGGAGCTCCCTGCCACACATTTCCTGAGGTTACGCTGGATCCGGTCCTGGCAGGATGCTGGATTGCTCTGGACCATGTCCCAGGTGTGGGCAGAACCCCAGCCCCACCTCAGAGCCCCTCTGGCAGCGTGGCCTCCCCAGACCCCCCTGCAGGGACCCCAGGCACAGCCAGGGCAGCTCTGGGAACAACAGCGCAGGGAAAGGGAGGCACAGAGGGGACAGATAAGGGATGGGAGCTTGCCACAGGATGGAGACACTGGAGGAGAGGATGGAGGAGCCCCTCACCTGAGCAGGGGCAGGAGCCTGTCCTTGTACTGCCCCTGGTAATAGCTGATGTCCTCGTGTGCCATCGCTGCGGCCACAGCACGTCCGGCTGCTGGCCTGGGTTCTGCACAGCCCAGGGCTCCTGAAACACCTGCACAGGCCCTGCAGCTACTCCAGCCCACCAGGACAGGCCCTGTGGCTACTCTCAGTCCCAGAGAGAGGCACTGTGTCTCTTCCAACCATTGTGAGAACTCCAGTGGCTACTGCCAGCACTCTGACAGCTCCAGAGGTTCCTCCAGCCACTGTGACAGTTCCAGAGGTTCCTCCAGCCACTGTGACAGCTCCTGTAGTTACTCCAAGCACTGTGACAGATCCAGTGGCTACTGCCATCACTGTGACAGCTCCTGTGATCCCCTTGGCTTCTGGGGAACTGACCACTGTGTTGAGGATCGGGAATTTTTTTATTCCCTTCTCTTTTATTAATCTTCTCTGCTTCTTCCTCTGCCCAGAATTAGCCCTGGTGCCTTGTGCCCTCTGCTGCCCTGGGGATCTGTCAAGTCCCCTGGCAGCCACATCCCCTGTCCTGACACTCCCAGGCTCTTCTCCCAGAGCCCAGCTGGAACAGAGCAGGCCCATCCCCAGGGAGGGCTGAGCACTGCTCTGCCCAGGGCTCCCTCTCTGGGTCAGGCTGAGCTTTCCCGTTTGCCAAAAATCAGCTGATTGGTTCTTAAGGGATTTAATTTCTCCCTCAAAAGAGGGCCTGTGACCAAGGACCACCCAAAATGAAGGGGTGGGGCTCATGGGAGAGCTGGGGGAAGCTGGGGATGATGAAGCCCTTGGAATTGCTGCTTCCTGGGGGATCGCACCACTTGCCTTCCCCCGGCTGAGCCCAGAGCTGCTCTCTGAGCCCAGGGCAGGGCACAGGGGCTGCAGCAGCAGCTGGAACAGAGGGTTTACAGTGCTCCAGCCCCTTTGGCAACTGCAGGGAGCATTTTTGGGTACAAAACCCACAAAAGCCACTTTAATGACTGTCCCTGTCCCTGGTGCTCCTCCTCCCACCAGGACCAGCTCCTGGATCCTTCACAGCACATCCTGCACTTGGTCTCTGTTTAAAGAACAACCACCACAAGCCTTGAAACAGTGAAAATAGAAAAACCTCCCATACTGTAGTTCCAATATCCCCCCTTAAGAAATACTATAATAATGATATAACAAATACTAATGCTAAAATATACTAAAAATGTCGACTTATTTGAATACGTAATAATGTTCAATAGATTACAGATTATATATTTATATATATATTATAGCTTTATAGACAATTTGTAAAATATGTAAAATAAAAAATATATAAAATAATAATATATAAAATATGTAAAATAAAATCTATAGCATAAAATATCTAAAGAGGCAGATTTGCTGACTTTATAAAACTTTTACTTGTTCTTTCCCAGAGCACTTCCACAAACAGCCCAAGAACAGAGAGAGTTTTTAGGATCTCTCAAATTCTCAATGATTTTTAGTTACACCACAACATAAATTGGAATGTTGCAGTTGTTTTGGTGTTTTGAATTGAGTTTTGATGGAGCTGCTCTGCAGAGATGCTGCCCGGTGCCCACAGCTGCTGACATCGCTCTGTGGCCAAAGCCCCGGGCCAGGAGGTCACTGTGCCCAAGGACAGCGGGGCCAGGAGGGGTCAGGGCCCTGCTGGCACTGGAGGTGTCTGAGCACAGCCCAGAGCTGGGCCCGGAGCTCCTGCAGGAATCCCGGGCAGCTGGGGACATCTCCTGGCCGTGGGATAGAGCAGCACTGCTGGAAAATCAGCCACACACGAGAGCTCCTCAGCTCCTCTCCCTGGCCACTGCACTCCAGCTCAAGGGAACCTCTCTGAAAGAAAAATAGGGGAAGAAACCCTCTTATTTTTTGCTAAAAACGACTAAACTCCACTTATTTTAAATCTCAGCATCTCCCTTAACCACCCCAGTGATGCTGAACACCAAAGCAGAGCCTGCCTGGTGCTCCAGGCCACATTTTATTTCACAAGTCTGACTGAAAGCCAAGACCTCAGAACACACGCTACAATCAGCATTTCCATCAATTCCAGCATTTTCCATCCTCCTGTCAAATACCAGTGTCTTCCTTCCACACCTCTCCTTGTTTCTATGCAAAATGCCTCACACATGAGGGGCATCCAGAAAGCCAACATTCCTGGTTGCTTTTCCCACCCCTGCCTTTGGAATGGAGTGAAACCCTGGGAATTCTGCCCCATTAAAGCCCCTGCTCTGACAACCTGCACAGATCTCTCCCAAGGAGAAAGGGGGCAGAAGATACTGAAATTGTTATTACAAGACAGTTAAAGGAAATGTAACCAGCCCTGCTCAAGGGGAGGCAGGCAAACAGCACAACCTTGCCCTGGAAAATTCCAGTGGCACCTTAATTAAGGCCAGAAGGGGCAGGAATTCTGTCCCCAGCCACGGAGCGTCCTGCCTGCAGTTGTCACTTGGGATCAACCCTGAGAGCATGGAAGCACAGCCCTGCACCCCAGAAACAGCTTCAGAGCAGCTTTCAAAGGTGAAAGCTTTGTGGTGAGTGGTGACCAAACGCAAAGCAGCTTAATTCCAGGGAAAACCTCCCAGCCCCAGGCCCTGGGACAATAAATATGTGATCAGTGGTGCAGGAAGCTTAATGAAAGGAAGGGCTGCTGGCAAGAGCAGGACCTGGGCACCGTGGGCTGTCACATCAGGGCTGGATTAGATATGGAAAAGCAGCACAAGCCAGGCAAGTGTCACTGCTCAGCTTCATCAAACTCCAGGTGCTGATTTTTCTAATGCAGGGAAAAGCTGAGTGTCAGCTCCAGGCACATTCCAGGGTGGGCTCTGCCACCTCCGGAATCCCAAAGCTGGGCCAGGACTCTGCAAGGATTTCAGAGGGACCCTGAGCTGGGAGCTGAGCCCTGCAGACCCTGGGGGCTCCCTGCCTGAGACCAGCTCCTGCCAGGTCCTGCCAGGATCCTTCCAAGATCCTCCAAAGTCCTTCCAAGATCTCTCCAAGCCCCTTCCCTACAGACCCACACAGAGCCCAGGCTCAGGCAAGAGAGCAAAGTTGGATTTCCTGGCACAAAACTCAAGGCCTGAGCTGTCTCTGCCTGAGCCCCTGAAAACCAGAGCTACATGGACAGTTGGGAAGGGGTGGGAACTCACCCCTCAGGAGGAAATGGCAGAGTCACTGTGCTGTCCATAGCTGGCTACCAGCTGAGGAACAAGGCTGGGTTGTTGCTACCCCTTTCCTCCTCTCTTTTCTCTGGGAATTAACTCATTGGGTGCTTTAAACACATGGAAGGAAAAAGAGAATTATTCCAAGTCTGTGCCCAACGTGGTTTGTGTGCTATGGACGCAGCTCCTGTGTGGCTCCCACCAATGCCAAAAGTGTCCACGTGGAGAAATTTAACTGACTCAGAACAGCATAAAGGAGACACAGCCAAGAAAGCCACTGAGCACAGACCCCAGTGCGGGCTCCCACTGCACGGTGAGAACAAAAGATTTCACTTCCATTACAGAAAAGAATAAAAAACAGTGGAAATTCTAAGATCAGCTCGATGGAGCAGAGTTCACAGATGGTAAGTGCTGGATTAAAATCTTTCCCTACAGGTTTTTCTGTTCCATTTTAGATTTTATGCTCTATTTTTGGCTCAGCAACAAGCAAGAAGTTTGTCAGCCATGCTAATTGCAAAATACTATAAAAATAAAAACCTGTTTACATTCTTCCTAAAAGGCCAATATTGTACAAAGATATTTTCCTGCATTACAGCACTCAGGAGGCACAGGACACGCGACTGCTCAGCCGTGGATTTCTCAACAGGCATTTCTGTTATGAAAACACCTCTCTCGTTGTTGGAAACTTGTTTAGAGTAGAATCAAACACTGCTAAATATTCCTCTTTACCTGTTAATGGATTAAAGGAAGCTGGAAAACACAGGGCACGGAACAAATGATTTTATGGAGAAGTCAGTCACCCGTGCAATGTTTCCATAAAACACAACCTCGGAGAGTTCCAGCCCCAGAAAGGCTCCAAACAACAACCCCACGTTTCCTTGGGTTTGGACTCCTCAGTGGTGGCACTGATGGCAACAGAGGACTTTGCCCTCTATAAATACAGATTAAGCAGCAATCTTTTTATTGGTCTTCTGTTGCTGAGGTGTATCTGTACAACTCTGATACGTCATCATCCTGAAAGCAGGAATTTAATCTGCACCTCCAACACTCCAAAGCCAGAGAAAACACCACCCTCAAATCCCACTTATTTGGGGTTTCTCCCCCGTTCCCGGGGCCGATCCCCGCCGTTCCCCCGTTCCCGGGGCCGATCCCCGCTGTTCCCCCGTTCCCGGGGCCGATCCCCGCTGTTCCCCCGTTCCCGGGGCCGATCCCCGCCGTTCCCCCGTTCCCGATCCCCGCTGTTCCCCCGTTCCCGGGGCCGATCCCCGCTCCTGCCCAGGGGCACCCAGTGCCAGCAGTGCCTGAGGGGCTCGGAGCTCCCCGCTGGCCCCGGCAGCCCCCGGGGTGGGCTCTGTCCCCTGGCCCGGCTCTCCGCACACCCGGAGATGCTCCCGCAGCCGCGCCCATCAAACATTCATGGCCCTCGGCTGCTGCTCAGCCGGAGCCCCACGGCCTCTACATATTTAATATTTCGCCATTAAAAACGCATGAAGCGACAGGTCCTCTCGCCCTGTCCCAAATTCGCTTCCATCTCCGTCTCCGGAGCGTCTGTCGGAGGTTTCAGAGCCTGAAGGCAGGGAGGCAGGTCAGGAACAACCTGCAGCTGCTCTTATCACAACGGAAACAATTGGATTTTAAAGGCAAATAAAAATCTTTTCAAATGTTAGGATGCCAATAAAAGTGCCTGCTAAGCGCTGTGAGCTCTGCGGCAGCACCGTGGGCCCGGGCCCATGTCCTGGGAGCCTCTCCCAGCTGTTCCAAGCATTGGTCCCAACCATTCCCCGGGGGCAGACTGGGAACGCGCCCGGCGGGGGCAGCCGGGGGTCGCTTCTCTCCGCGGGCCCGGTGTCCCCTGTCCCCGGTTCCCGGCCCTGCTGCTCACAGCTCCTCTGCCCGGCTCCCCGGACCCCCCCAGCGGGAAGCGGAGCCAGCCCCGCTCGCCGGGCCGGGCTTTCCCCGCTCCGGACCGGGCCGTGGCCGGAGCCCCCAGCCCCTCCTGCCCCGGGCGCTGCGGAGGGAGCGAGCCCCAGAGCGGGAGCACGAAGGTGATCCTCGGGAAGAGGAAGGCTTCATTTACTGCTCGCATGGCTGTTCCACGGTACCT